ATATTCACAGATTAGAAGAAATCTTATGAGATCTTACCACATTATCTTGAAGCACTCAAAAAAGAATATCTGGAGATAATGTACGAAGTATCATCGGATCCCGTTGACGGCGGAGATAGATAATTCATTGGGGTATTTTGGGCATTTGAGCCTTGTATCAACATCCTATTCTTAGCATTGACGATGCCCACTTGTGTGGTAAATATAGAGTTTTGCAGAAATGAGCTTGATGGCCTCCAACAACAATAGGTATAAAACTCAATTCATTATTTATATTTTACTTTTTCTGTAGATACTGATACAAGTTTTTTTTTTAGCTCAAATGGAGGCCATATTCTCCTCCAGATCTCAATATCTATACCCTTGCACCTATTTGTAGAGATAACATTGATTTGTGGAGAACTAAAGTCCCGATGATATGTTGGGAGATTGTGGAGATGCATGTTCTAGATTGTGTGCTACAGTAATTTTATTTTTCTCAGCATGTGTCAGATCTTATTGGACAAATCGATCGTAGGCGACGGATGATATCACATCAAACGGATTGGGGCTAATTCCGTCTGGCCTACATAAATAGGTGGAATAATAGGTAGAATCTCATACAGAATGAGAGAAATTCAATAACTTATAACGCGTATATGCACTAATATTAGAATATCACACACAGATGGATAGGACGCGACCCATAACTAGCAGTTGGATGCGTACTACGCCCACCGATAGATAGTTACATCCCTAATGCCATGATCGAGAGGGATTATGTAAGTTTTTAAACTCAATTAAAACGGCAATTCTTTTTTTGTAATTATATTATTTGCTAAGCTGCGTATATATTGATTAAATTGCATATCCATGTTTTTGATGAGATTGAGGCTGATATAAATGAGCATATTGCTGAGATTCAGGATCCAACAATGTTAGGGATCTTCAGTAGAATCAGATAGAGAATAGCAAATGTGATCCATGAGATTCACATCGACGAGTTTGAAGGATGTGAGGACAGGTCATGCCAATTTGGTAGAGTGTACGCGCAAAGACCTAGGATAGGTAAAAGAGCTGTGCGTGATGATGGAGTTGGCACTTCTCATAGTGCAGTGTATGATGATGGTAGAGCCGGTACTTCTCAGCCTCATACATAACCAGATATCCAAATCATTGAGGCTCATGAGC